GGCTGAACTGACATTATCTCGGTGATGGAGCAGCCAGGTGTCCATACCGCCCAAGGCAGAAGTATATTTGTAGCTACCACAGAAGCTCATGGCCCCCAATGGAATCATCTAAGGGTTTTAATGATATAAGATCCCAGCCAAACCAAGACCCACTTCATCAGAGGCTCTGCAGGTGCCATTACCAGCAGCCAGATGAGGCCCACTGCCTTAGGACCCTGGGCCTGGGGCGACTCCATCATCCCCATCTGTTAATCCCATGCCTGGCAGGTTGAGGAGGTGGGCAGCTGAGCCCTGAATGGAGGGAATGGTTCTTAGCTTCAGAGACTTTGCAACCTCATCAAAAACACGTAACACTAAGGACCAGTGAGAGAAAACACAGCATGAAATTGACGCCCAAGTGTTGAGTTCAGAGGAACAGGTTAGGACAAGACGTGTGATGGGAGGGTGATCATCAGTCTGCACCAGCTCTGTTTGCCACTGGGCCAGCTCAGACCGACAACAGCTGGAGCAGGGAGAAGCCACTTGGGTTCCGGAACCTGACAATGAGCCGGCCTCCCAGCCGAGCCTGGCGCACAGGCTCCCTGTGACCCACTCAAAAGGAAATGGAGCACTCAGGCCATTGTTTGGATAATGATGCTTTTTCAGAAAAACTCTCATCTGGTAAATCCACATACTTGAACCCCCAAAAGAGTGCTTTTTCTTTTTGAATTAGCCACATAATTGCTTCATTTTCCACTTCAGTTTGCATATGGAACTCTGACCTCAGTCGTCCTTTTGCAGAATCAACGTGAAGCGAACTTTTTCCCAGATCATCCACATTTAGTGAACTTGTTCCATAGAGCAGTGAGGCTGGAGTGGAGAGGAACTGTGACACAAATCACAAATGCACATATGCAAGTGCCAGCCTTCGTGAGCTCACAGCCTCTCCCATACACAGTCCGGAGAAGGTAGCTCACAAGATAAGGTGTGCTGCCCAGGAAGGGGTTCCCGGAGGGTGCTGGCTGAAGTAGAAGGGGAGAGAGGCCAGAGCGTGCCAATGGTACCTGCAGAGATGCAGGCACAGCAAGTGCCTGCAGTGTGGGCAGGCTCGTGGGTGCCCAGCTGAAATGACAGAGAACCAAAGGGCATTGATGCCTGGTTTTTGAAACCAGGTTTGATTGAGCTCTACCACTTAGCTGGATGATTTGAGCAAGTCACTTAACCTCTCTGGACCTCAGCTTCCCATTTGCAAAATGAGTATGACAATAATTTTCCTCGTTAGGCTCCCATCTAAGTCAGTGTGGTTGGTATATCAAAAGCACCATAGGCAGGGTGGCTTTAACAACATTTAGTCCTCACAGTGTGAAAGGCCGGGAAGCCCAGCTCGTGGCCTAAAACCAGCAGATCTGGCGGCTCAGTTGAAGGCCCGCTTCCTGACTTGTGGATGGTTGTCTCCTGCTTTTGTCCTCATGTGGCAGAGTGAGAAAGCATCCGTGTCACCAGCTCCTTCTAAGGGCACTGACCCCACCATGGGGGCCCCACCCTCACAAGTGCCTCTATCTCTGACTACTTCCCAAGTCCTCAATTCCAAACACCAGCACATGGGGAATTTGAGTTTCAACATTTGAATTTGGGAGAACACAAACATTCAGTCCATAGCAGTCATTTTGAAGATTAAATGCACTGATATTTGCAAATCACTTCAAAAGTGCCAGGAAGGTCCCGAGTACCACGTGACTGTTGGTATCCTGCTCAGATCCCAGAGGCTGAAAGATGACTGTTGTTCTGGGCTTGGAGCAGCAGCTTGCTGTGATGATTCGCCATCTACTGAATCACTCATTTGCAGAACTGACAGGCGGCAGGAGGAACACCGTGCCAGGGGAAGAATCAGGGAGCTGTGACCTGGCACTGGTGTCTGGGAACATTGTCAAGTCACAAAAAAGAAAGATCTGGCAAGAACGCAGGAACAGGGCGCCCTGACTGGCATGCTACCAGACAGAGGGACAGGCACACCGGTGGCCTGACAGTCCTTTGCAGCAGGTCCCAGCAGATGAGAAGTGCCTGTCCACTGAGCTGAGCTGATGTCCCCCATGGCCCTCCAGCAGGAAGTCCAGTGGCCTGTGAGGAGAGGCCAGATGTTTGGGAAGTTGGGAAGTTAATGCTTTTCGGGAGATGTACCCTACAGGAACAGAAGCCAGAAAGGGGAGACTGGTCTGGGAAGGCCCAGACAGCCAGGAAAGAGGCTTTGTCGCATTGCAGAGGAGACTGGTCCTGGGGTGGCAGATGTGGCCACCAAAAGGAACTGGGGTTCTACATGGAGCCTGCTTGTCTGCCAGCATCTGTCCCCCATGTGATCCTGAGACCAGGTCAGAGTTTAAGATGGCCTTGAAATCATAAAACTTCTGGAAGAAAGCATAAGCATTAAAATCTTGAACATCAGCATTAGTAATTTTTTCTGGATATGTCTTTCCAGGCAAGGGAAATAAAAGCAAAAATAAATAAGTGGGACCATCAAACTAAAAAGCTTCTGTACAGCAAAGGAAACCAGCAACACATTGAAAAGGCAACCTATGGTATGAGAGAATATCTTCACAAATGATATATCTGATAAGGGCATAATATCCAAAATATATAAAGAACTCATAGGGTTCAACAGCAGAAAACAATAATCCAATAAAGACTGGGTAGAGGACCTGAAAAGACATTTTTGAAAGAAGATACAAGATGGCCAACTGGCATATGGAAAGATGCCCAATATCACCAATCCTCAGAGAAATGCAAGTCAGCATCACAGTGAGATCACCTTGCACCTGTCAGAATGGCTGCTATCCAAAAGATAAGAAATAACAAGTGTTGGCAAGGATGTAGAGAAGAGAAAATCCTTATATGCTGCCGATGGGATTGCAGATTGGTGTAGCCACTATGGAAAGCAGTATGAAACTTTCTCAAAAAATTAAAAATAAAAATACCTTATGACCCAGCAATTCCACCTCTGGGAGTTTACCCAAAGTCAACAGAATCCAAAAAGAAACATGCACTCCTATGTTTATTGCATCATTATTTACAATAGCCAAGATATGGAAACAACCAAAATGTCCTTCAATAAATGAATGGATTAAAAAAATGTGGCACATATACACAATGGAATATTTCTCAGCCATAAAAATGAATGAAATCTTGCCATTTTACAAAAACAAATGGACTTAGAGGATATTATGTTAAGTGAAATAAGTCAGATGGAGAAAGAAATATTGTATGATTTCACTTATATGTGGAATCTAAAAAACAAAAAAAATAAACAAAGCTGAAGTAAACTCATAAACATAGAGACATACAGGCTAGTGGTTGCCACAGGGATGGGGTAAGGGGGCTAATGAAACAGATGAAGAGAGAAAAGACAAACTAGTGAGAATGCTTGAGTTCTTGATCTGGGCGATGGTCACAAGAGACTACACACACATCAAAATTCACCAATCTGTACACTAAGATTTGTGCATTTTATTGTATGTATCTCAACATAAAAAAAATTAATATATAAGTGAATCAATAATGACCCGTTACCTGGAAAGATTCCAAAATCCCATTCTCTGAAAGTGACCCAAGGCAGAGGACTAAGACAATAAATCACTGAGGATGCCACAGGGGCAATCATGCGATGCTGGCTAGTCTGTAGGCATCTTTGAATATTTTTAGTGCCTTTGGTTTTGACCATTTAGTCAATTTGTAAACCCACATGAAGGACCATGACTTTGTAGATCTGTTAGCAACTCTGAACTTCATACGTTAAAATTGATCAATTGATCAATTGATAGGTGGGTAAATGAGTGGATGGATAGAAGGAAGGATGGATGGTGGATAGTGGATGAATATATGGATGGGTAGACGAATGGACAGCTGGAGGATTGATGGATGGATATGTGGGTAGGTGAGTGGATGTATGTATGGATGATGGTGAATGGATAGACGGACGGAGGATGCAAGATAGATGGCGGATGGAGGGGCAGAGAGATTCTCTACAAAATAAACCTTTCAACTAAACTGAACCTAAAACTTACAATAACTTCAGTTGCCCCTCTATGAAATGGAACTGTTTCTCTCTATAGCCTTTATCTTTGCCTTACAGAATTTGGTTTCCATAAATTAGATGAACTTCTAATGAACCACAAAATGCCTGCACAAAACTCTTACAAACTTCTTTGTCCCCTGCCTTTCTTTGTCCAGTTGAACTCTTGGAGAGCAGGGCTTGTGTATGGTCAGCGTACCTGTGTTTGGTTTTCCCATCCCATCTCAGTGTTATCAAGAACCACACACAGTGGCTAAAGAGCAGTTACATGGTTGTTTCTGAATGTGTCTCTTACCCCATGAAAATGCTAAGTAATTCCGTAGGGGCGGGACTGGTCATTGCTGGAATCTGGTTGCACACTGACACTTGTGTTTATTATAATTACTTGTCAAGTGAATGAATAAATGAACAAAAGAACCAATCCCTGGCCTTCTCCTACACCATTAGAAGATATGTCCCCAGCTTTCAAGGGTAACTCAGAAAAAATAAGCACCAGGAAACATGGAAATGAGACTGAAAACAACACCCCCTGGTGTCTGGGAAAATATAATCTGTTCACATTCTTAAATCTAGCATATGACCCCTCATGAACTAGAGAAATCATCTCAAAATATATGCTGATTGTTTATTTCACCCAGAACATGAATTGCTTCACTATAAACAAAATAATGTAGAATATATTAATGCTAACGTTTATTTTAGGTAATAGTTATCATAACTGAACTGATTGTAATGAAATGGTGACCAAAACTAGGTTTATTTCTTTTCATTCCTAAGCTTCTCAACATTTAGTTTTAATACCATAACAATGGGCTTTCTAGCTAGTGGACAGGACAATTCTGTGGATTTTGCCTTTACATTTTTTTGTAAAACTTCTCACATAAGCAGAAGTATGTAACACCAGTTTATTTCTCCCTTGAGTTATAACCAACAGCAGTCCAAAAAAGAGGATCAAACATTCAATGCCACTGATTTATTTTTATGAAACTATTAATATGCATCCAAGATGGCCAGTGCTCACATGGATGAGCACGGCATTCCCCAGTATGGCTAAGGGGACATCCTACACAAACACTTGCAGAGAGCCCAGGGGCTGGGGACGCCCTATGCCGAGAGCAGGTGGCCATGCTCAGCCACACATGCCGGGCCGCAGTGCTAGGCACCTGAGGATTGCTGAGCAGAGGGAGAAAGATCTGAGGTGTGCTCCGGGAAGACCACTCTGGCAGGGGTGAGGGGGATAGGTTTGAGTGAGGGTGGGGAGTGGGTGGGGGAGCATGGGGACCAGTTGGCAGGCTAGTCAGGGAGCAGAGATGGAGAGAGTCAGAGACCTGGAAGCCAACTCCAAAAGGGATGCATTAGCTCCTGGGGGCTGCTGTGACTGGCAGCCACAGAAAGCTACCCTCTCACAGTCCGGAGGCCGTGCTCTCTCTGAAGGCCCCCAGGGAGGATCTGCTCCAGGCCTCCTCTGAGCTCCTGGTGTTATGATGTTCCCCGGAGTTCCTGGGCTTGTGGTCACATCCCCCATGGTCAGGTGGCGGTCTCCCTGGGTGGCTTCTGTGCTGCGTCTCCTCTTCTTACAAGGATGCCAGGGCTGGGTGAGCTCCCCTCCTATGCAGTATCACCTCCTCTTAACCTGAGGACATCTGCAGAGACTCTATTTCCAAATAAAGTCAGAGGCACCAGGGATTAGGACTTCAGCATATCTTTGCAGGAGACACAATTCAGCTCATGACAGACTCGGTGTTTGGCCAACGGCTGGAGGCCACCGCAGCACAGAGTTCTAGCTGATGGCCAGGATGACAGGTGGAAAACTGAGCTTCTTGTTCCTGAGAGGGGCCCAAAGCAGGAGCCTCAGCCTTGTGTAGCTCCTGGGCCTCCAGCTGTGAGGGACCCAGGCCCCATCTGGCCTATGAGGGCAGAGAAGGTCAGCTGCCCGCCGCTGTCTAGTGTTGTTCTTGGACCCCCCATGTCCATCGGAAGTCCCCACTCCCCGAACCTGAGCAGCAAGAGCCTGGGGGTGGTGGTGCATGCCTGGGCCTTGCAGATCCTGGTGAAGGAACCAGGCTTCCAGAAAAAAGCTGCCCACTGGTGTCGTGGGAAGCCCTAGGCTGGGACAGGAGCCTTGAACTCAGGCCCAGCTCTCTGCCTTCAGAGTCCATTTAATCTCACCGGGATCCAGTCTCCTTATCTCTAAAAGGAGAGCTTGGGTGATTTCAGCTTCACACCACTCTGCACCCCACTTTCCTGCCGACTGATACCACAGTCACAGAGGCTGCCCCTCACTCCGGGGATCTTCAGCACTGGCAGCGTCTTCCATCCTAGCTGGAGTCACCCTGACCTTTCCATCAAGTAGTTAATAAACACCTCACACTGAAGGAGCCGTGCTGGCTTTGCGGGTTAGGGGTGGTCAGAGGGCTCCCCCAAGGCGTGGGAAAGCTGCTTCCCAGAACACCGAAGTCTCTTTGGTTTCTGACAGGGTTGGGGTTTACCCACGGCCGAGCTCCAGAGGAGGTGGGCCGGCCGGCGGGCAGCAGAGGGGCCAGAAAAGGGCCTGACTCAGGAACACATGCTGCCGGCCTCCTTTGATCTTCAGAAGTGCTTGACCCCATGGAAACCACACAGTGAGTCTATCACCACAGGAAACACAGTTGTAGATGTGGGCGAAAGAGCCCCACATGGGTCAGTCTGGACTTGATGCCACTCCAGACTGCCACGCTGGACACCACACCTTCTCACACCACAGTGCAGGTGTGACTGACCCTGCAGAGCGGGAGCCGTGCACACGAGTTCCAAGATGTAACGGGGATGCTGTTGAAAATGTGCAGCAGTGCTGAGTCAGATTTCCTAAAACAGAGGCACACAAGTGGAGAGACAGTTGTCTGGAGAATTCCTAGATCTCCATTTGCCAAGCATTCATATTTTGGGCTATCATATTATCAGTTGGCCACTAATGCATAAAAGGTTATGAGAGAGGAGAAGTACTAAAAATATATATTAAAATATTAGGAGAAAAGTGTTCCATAGAACTAACCAGTCTGGCGTCACTTGCCTGTGATCCACACGTACCTGTCTGGTCAGTCACAGGTGCTCGGAAGATGACCGATTTTTTTTTTCACATATTATGCAATTATACATGGGATAGTGACACTCTATGTAGCTTCAAAATCATTATACTTGTTAAACTGGGCAGCTAATAAACTGGAATGCTATTTAATTAGTTAATAAGATGTTTGTGAACTATTTACTCATAAGCTTCATTTAATTGACCTTCATTTTGGGTCTCAAGATAATTCTGACCATATTACCTGCTATCCCAAAAGCCCATAATTATACAGTGAGAGCAATAATCCTTGGGCTTGAGATTTAGTTGTCTCTAAATTAAAGTACTTTCCTTTTGTGGCTACAACCTAAAATATCAGCAACTGGTGGGGGGAAGGGCCTGAGAAGTGGAGACGTAGGACTTCAAAGGGTCTGGTGAAGAGGCAGGGGGTTTGCTGTGGTTGCCACAGTTCTGTCTGAGCTTCATTTGATAAGATGCCTGTAAGCACACTGCTGGGTTCCTACCGGGGAGCTCTCAGCAGGGACTCTCAGGCCTGCAAACGCCTTCAGGCACAAATGCTCATAAACAGCCAGTCAATCATGCTGAGAAGACATTCCAGCCTGTGCCTTCAGGTCCCAGGGTGTCTTTGGCCACACAGGGTGTTGTGGTGTGTCTCCAGGCAGCCCAGTCCCTACCTCCTCTCTCCAGAACCTAACCTACAGCCCTTGGAGCAGGGACAGGCCACTAGCAGTGACTTGTCATTTGGGACAAGCCAGCACAGTGCTAAGTGAAGTCAGGAGCCCACCTTGCCCTAAACCAGGGGGTCAGGAGGAGCTCACCACTGCTCAGTACTTCCTCACCCCTGGTTATAGTACCACACTTTCCTCCAAAACCATGGGGATGGTGTTGTGGGTGGCCAGTGGTCCTTAGCCAGCCCCACACACCTGTAACCCCCCCATCTAGAAGTGCAGTATTTTCCTGGGGGTGGGTCAGTCCCGTCACTCACCAGAGGAGTAATGCCTCCAGGGTGACCAGGGTAGGGGTGCTCAGAGCTTCACTCATGGTACAAAGGGGCTGTGGCCAGTGGCAGCGATGACACAGTAGCTGGCAATCATGCTTCCAAAGGGTTTCACTGGCACTCAAGAATCTAATTTGAACTTCACATCTGAATTCAAAACCTGCTATATTTCACTAAAAACTCCAATTGGGCTGTTCTGAAGAATAATCGCCTTTCATATATCAGCAGATGTAGTGATGCTGAAGGGACCAGCCCTCGGCCTGAAAAGGCTTGCAGAGCTTTGTGCAGGGAAAGTGCTGTGCATCCTGGTAGAGGAGCGTGGAGTGGGGCAGCTATCCACCAGGACCAGCAGGCATGTCAGCCAGCATCTGAGGTGGGCCTGGGAGGATGCGTTAACCTGGGGAGGATGGGAGACAGAAGCACGGTGTACTCATCAGCCATGAGGTACACCCTGGGAAGACTGACAGGGCGGTGGGCAGAGGGGAGGATGACAGGTGAGTGTGGCTAGAATTGAGCTGGGAAGAGGCTCAGGGAGATAAAGATCAGGTAGGGCTCCAGGGGGAGAAGAGAGGGGCAGGTAGGAGTCAGGTGCACTGCCCCCCAGAACAGAGCTCAGCTGGCTGGAGGGGACAGGGGCAGGGGCAGGGAGAGTTGATGGGGTGAAGCCCCTGGAGCTTGTCTCCTCCCCTCTCTCTCCTCTCTCACAACCACATACACAAGGCCACCCTCAGGAGCCCAGGGAAGGGGGGTCCCCAAACTTTGAAGATGAGAGGACAGCAAAAGGGGTAAACCCTGATGGTGTATTCAAACCTCAAGGGGAAATCCACACATACACGATCCCTACCTCACACTATTCACAAATTTAATTCCAGATAGCTTATAAATATAAATGAGAAAAGCAAAATAATAAAGATTGAAGAAGAAAATGGGAGAGAAGGGAAGAAAAAGCACTAATCATAAAAGGAAAAAAACTGGTAAGTTGAGCAACATTAAAACTAAGAGCTTTTGTTCATCAAAAGACATCACTGAGAGAGGGCAAAAATGACTCACAGAAGGAAAAGATATTCATAAGACATATACCCAATAAAGGTCTCGCATCTAGAGTGAAAAAAATAACTTCTACAAGTCAATAAGAAAAATCCAATAAATCCAGACACTCCAAAGAAATGGGTAGAAGACTTGACAAGCACTTCACAGAGGAAGAGCACCCCATGGCCAAAAAACAGAAGAGAAAATGGTCAATGTCACTCACATCAACAGGACACGCTCCCCACAGGCCGGAGCTGCTGAATGACAGAGGCAAAGCCAACTGTGGGCAGGGCAGACAGTGGAGCTTGGGTCCTCTCCAGGGGACAGTGCACTCGCCACCTGGAAGCAGCACCTACTGACGCCGAACACAGGCCACCCTCTGGCCCACTGCAGGCAGTCACGTGTACACGTGTGCACCCAGAGACAGGAGCCCAGCAGTGGTCACAGAGCACATTCACAGAGGCCGAGCTTAGAGAGGCTCAGTGCCCACCCAGGACAGAATGGATCAGTTGTGGTGGTGTGGCTACACAGCATGAAGTTACACAACAGTAAGGCAGAGCCAGCATGCGCACAGCACAGGGGCTAATCTCACACACATGGCTGCAGAAGAGAAGCAGTCACAGAAGGGCACAGCCTGGGCACCATGGATAAATGGCTCAAAACAAGGCTGTTCAGAGGGGAAAGTGGGTGCCTTGGAGTGGGAAAGTGACTGACCGGAGGCACGGGGATTCTGGGATGTCTGTGAAGTTGTTCCGTCTCGGTCTCCTGTTCCCCTGGTGTGTTTGGCTTGAGACAATTCATTGAACCACGCACTTAGGATTTCTCCACTTCCTGTGGATCTGTTTGCAGTGGACTGAATGGTGGGGCCAGAGATATGTCCCTGTCCTGGTTCCCAGAATCTTGTATGACAAGAGTGAATATCGCCTTATATGGCAGAAGATGTGACTAAGTTAAGGCTCTTGAGAAGAAGAGCTTATCCTGGATTACTCACATGGATGCTCCATATAAAAGAAGGTGTCTTTACCAGAGACACACAGAGACACAGGGAAAGGCAGGTGAGGATGAGGCAGGGACTGGAGGGAGGCTGCCAGAGGCCCAGGGGCGCTGGGCCCTCCGGGAGCTGGCCGAGGCAGGAAGGGTCCTCCTCTAGAGCCATGGGAGGGAGCCCGGCCCTGGCACGTCTTGATCTCAGACTTCTGGCCTCCAGAACTTAAGAAGTTTTAAGCCACTGCATGTGGGGTAATTTGTCGCAGCAGTCACAGGAAAGTCACAACACTCTTACACCTCAGTGCAATGGGAGAAGAAATGGAGCTAGTGACGCCTGAGCCCACTCCGGACCAAGTGCCGCAGAAGAGCTGGGAGGTGGAGCCTGAGCACAGTACAGTGGCCATGCTCTGGGGATGCCAACACCTCCCTGCCTGACATTCCATGGGAAGGCCGTCAGAAGGGGGAGCAGCAAACTCGCCAGGACAGTGCAGTCAACCTGGGGCTGCATGAGGACCTTGCGAGGTCGGTGGTCATGAATCTAAAGTGAGAGCACCAGCCAGGCTGTGCGATTTGCTTCTGCGATGTGTAGGGATGCATGGGGCAGAAGATGGGCTAAATCAGAGCTGGGCTGTTTCCAAGAGAGTTATAAACTGGAAGGAAGACGGCAAGGGGATTGAGAGTGCTTAAAGGAGTGATCACAGGAAGAGCCACAGATCCTCGCTGGGTGAGAACGGAGTGTGGGGCAGTGCTGCTCAGGGGCCTGTGGGAGACAAGCGCATGAGATGATGGGGGATGCACCACAGTGGGGCCCCCAGAAGGCTGGGGAAGATCTCTGGCACTTTGAGCAGGTCACAGAACGGAGAGTCCGTATTCCATGGATTACCCCCAGGGGGGCCTGTGGCGTAACAGTGGCCACCCAAGAGGGCTGGAGGGGACACTGAGATTTGGGAGCTGTGATTCAGGGAACAAGGGAGAGGCCCTCAGGTCAGGCACAACAGCAGCAGCACACATTTCAAGAGCCAGCTGGTAACTGGGTTTCCAATTCTCTCCCACTTCTACTCCCCCTGACTCGGGGCTTCTCAACCAGGGGCCACAAACATGCCCAGCAGTGAAAAAGCAGGATGAACAGGGAAATTTCCATGCCAACAGTTTTTCTGGGTGCAAATAATTTTTAATGTCTTTTACTTAAAACAAATGCACGCCTATTAAGCTATAGGGTATTCACAAGCCTTAAAAGTAAGACAAAAAATATATTTTTTAATCTTCTGGTGCAGGTCTTTTATTTCCTCCTGCAGACGGTATGCATCCTGGCAGGAGTCCTCGTGCTCTGACACACAGAGAGGCTTTCGTGGAAAGGGCTGAAGGTCCTCCCTGGACAGCTGCTCCCACCCAGCTCCCGTCCAGCCACAAGGCCTCTGCCTGTAGAAACCCTGGCAGGTGTCAGCCCTGTTGTGCCTCGCAGAGTCTCACACCAATGGAATTGGAAATGTCCACTTGGTTGCCATGCTGGCTGGGGGCTGGCTGATCCGGGATGGCCTCAGCTGGATATCTCACTCTACCCCACGTGGTCTCTCATCCTGGGCATGCCAGCCCTGCCTCATTCACATGGTGCCTGGGCAGGGTTCTCAGAGAGGGAGCGGAAGCATGTGTGGCCCCTTGAAGCCTACACATGGGGCAGACACAGCATCACCTACCACATTCTGTTGGTCAAAGCAAGTCACAAGGTCAGCCCAAATTCAAGGAGCCCAGAGGCTTAGAGCCAGGGAGTGG